CCAAGTTTTTTAATGTAGGCCAGGAGCGGTGTCAGAGTCATTGTTCAGCAGTAACACTGAGGCCAGTGAGATTATTGCTGGACTTGTCCACAGGGATGGACTGTTGATCTTTCTTTTATAGTTTGGTTGTGGTGCCTAATTCACACAACTTCTGTATTCATCAAAACTCATATTTGCCTGTTTATTTAAAATAGTAATAAATGGAGAGAGAATTAGGCATGTGTCTGCGTATTTTGCTTAACTGTGAGAACTTTAAATACACCTAATTTACAGAGGAATTCTCTGTAGTGCAGAGCTTGTATAGCTATCAACTCTTTATAATTTTTCATTTTGTGTCCTTGTATCCACATTTTCGTTTCTTCAAACTGTAAAATTCGCTGGGATTTGACAAAATTTCTTTAACAGGTTCTCACGGAATTCAAATACCTGTGGTAGTGAGTTTTTAAAAGACAATCAATGGCAAGATGATTTTTTGAATTCTTTCCAGTAACAGGGCTTCTTTTTCCTACACACTGGAGCCAGACATAGAAATTTTGTGTTGTCAGTTTATGGTTTCCAGAAAGATAAAGGGTTTGATCAGGATTTCTTAAATCCTTTCATCTAAATTACTATGAGACCGTTTTGGCTGGGGGTAGATGTGAAGAGTTAGAAAACAGAAAAAAGCCGATTAATTCCTATATGTTACATTTTTCTAGTATTCTGGCTAAATAGAATTTGATCAGTCTTTTTGATATTTTTGACTAAAGAAACACTACTGTTTAGACACTTTAGGTAAGTGGCTGTGCTTTTACTTAAATGGTTGATTGAAATATTAATATACTGCTGATTTAAATTTTAAAGTTCAGACGAGCTGATCGTGTAGAAGCAATCCCAAGGCTTTCTTTTCCAGGAGAATGGAACTGGTCTGCTTTGAGGTGTTTGAGAGAACCAGCAGCTCCTATGCCATTGCTTACTGTGATTTACAGACTTGAACATTTTGCCTGTGAATGCAGAAATCTACATTTTTTGATCCAATGGTTTCTCATGCCCATTTTTAGGTTCCCTTAGGTGGAGTTGCTGTCATCTTTAGTTGTATAGTTCCTGCCATCTTCAGTCATTTATCTTTTCTTCTTCCAGTGGTTATTTGATTCTAATGGTTGTGTTAGTATTATGTCTTTATTTTTTAGAAATCTTGAGTTTTGTGTTAATTTTTAAAAGTCTTCTAGTTTATGGTTTCATTTTCCTTCTTCTTTTTAATCAGGAGAAACTTATCAGCTGAAATTCACACATTCATACCCTCTCTAAATTGCCTATTTTTCTGAAATAGTCCTTTTCTTTTTAGCACTTTGTGCCCTGCTATTTTAGGCAGTTTTATGTAAAGGTAGGATCTTGAACTACGTCAGCTGCATTGTTATAGCCTTTTATTTTAGCCCAGTCTCATCTAACCAGAACAACACATATCACTGATGTCTTAAGAATCTTAATGAAATACATCAGAAACAGGGTAAAAGGAGTATCAGCTTGCAGCACCCTGACTTTCCTGCAGCCAGGTGGTGAAGTGTCTTTTAATAAAGCTGGGATAAAAACACAGTTTTATTTGGGTAATTAATATTAGGTTCAGATTAGGCTGTATAGTTCAGATTTTCAATAATGCCCAAACCTTACATTTTATCAGTTTCTGAACAACAAAACAGAACATCTCTTCCACCAGTATTTTAGGATTATACAATGTTAACTGTCTCCTTTGTTTGTTTGTTTGTTTGTTTGCTTTTTTGGTGTTTAAATTAGTGCTAAAACTGTGTGCTGAAGTTACTTTTGAGGCCAGTACAAGATGCTAATCTAATACTGTGGAAGGAGAAAGCAATGGCCAAGTTTGGGTTGAGGCTCATTTTAGTCTAAAAGCAAAGAATATTAAAGTAAATTTAATGTGAAGAAGAAGATCTGATTACCTGTCGACTTTGTGTGGGTGTGTTAATCACCTTGACAACTAAGCATCACCCTGAAATACTATATGTGGGCATTTGGTTACACAGAATTATAATAATTTGCATGTGCAAAATGGTTACTTAAAATTACTATTAATTGCAGATGTTATATAGGAATATAATGAAAGTGTAATTTTATAAATGAGTGCATCTCTTAGAGATTATTAGTGTTGATTTGGTGGTTGCAAAGGTGATGACACAAGTACTTTTTCATGGATATAAGTATCATGAGTTCCAATCAATAAAATTCAGGTTAAAAGCAACTATCTCTGATACTTTTTTTGTTTGGTTGCGTTTTTTTTTTGTTTGTGGGGGTTTTTTTTGTGTGTGTTTTTTTTTCTTTCTATTTTTTTTTTTACATTTTTATTAGGCTCCCTGGACTTTTTATTAAAAGAAATTGAAAAAGAGAAAACAGTATCATTCCAAAAATGATGTAATGGATAAAAATCTGGTTTCCTTAGGCTATGAGGACTTCATGAAATCTTCAGAATATCTCTTGCTTAGCTGTTCAGGCAAATTTGAAACCCTCCGGATGACCTCAGATAGTAAAATGATCAGTGTAAGGTATCATGCACATTAAGGATATCCTTAAATTAGTACCCCAGAAGTAGATCCCTGAATCAGGTACCCCAAAAGAGAAAGCACAGACATAGAACAACATAAATTCAAGGACTGAGCCTTGTGGGAGCCTCCAAACGTTTGAATCTGATTGGAAGAAAACCCACACAAAATAATAAAATGGGAGTAAGTTTCTGATCTTCTCCAGAATCCTAAAGTCTGCTTCATTTTACCATCAGGGATAGAGAAGAAAAGCTTTTAAGTCAGCCAGCATCAGATTGATTCATAAAGCAAACAGGAAAAGTATTATGAGGGAAGGCTTCATGCTCTGATAGACATCTCGGAATACGCATCTTTGGCAGTCTGTTCATCTTTGGCTAAGGGGGTGGAAACTCTGGTTTGTCTCCCTGGGTAGTGTGTGGAATCCTGTTTATATTCCAGCTCAGTTTATGTGGCCTTGGGGAGCAAAGTCTGGTCTTAGAATTAGCTGTAATTTTTGCTGATCAGATAGTGGTATGACTGGCCAACTATTTTTCCATGACTTTCGTAGAACTGTATGAAAAATCCATGGCATACTCTTATTTTTTAAAACATTGGTGTAGTGAAGGTACTTGTTTCATCTAAGACAAACAGCTGGTGGTGATTGAGAGATTCCTTGCATAGGTGATGTGTGAAGGTTTCTTTCTTTTTAGAATGTAGAGAGTTACTTGTATTAAAAAAATAAAAACAAGGGAAAAGGGCCAATCAGAGATACTTTTTCATAAATGCCAAAGCATTTTGAAAGTGCATAAAAGCAAAATTAGAAGTTCACTGTTGTTATCTGTTAGAGGTAGTTTAAATATACATATATATGCCTGCAATATATTTAACCTTATAAAAAAGCATGCAGACTTACTTAGCTTTAGGTATAGTAACTTGTCTCTTTCAGTTATTTTAATATATAAGGCCACACATTTTTTGAATCTATTTTATAAAGATGTTTATTAGCAGTAGATTTTAGTTTAATAACATACAGTAAATCACTCCTACTACTTAGTCTTTAAGAGCAATTGTGTCTCAGTCATGGATAAGCAATATGTTTGTTGCTAAGCAGAACAAGAAACTGATTGATAGTTTGTGATACAAAAAATTGTGACTTTTAAACTTGTGGGTTATAAGGTAGGCAGGATCTAGAAATGTGCTCGGGTAGGCTGAGGGAGGACAGGATAATATATGTGCACAATCCATAGTTGATTATATTTTTGGTAGTCTATCAATTGATTGTCAGATTGTATGTGGTTTGCTTCATTCAAAAAAAGGTGGTTTGAGAGATGGGAATAATTAGGACTCACAGTGTTATGTTTTTTTATGATTTCCACCCTGCTACCTCACCCCTCCCTTTCACCTGAATTTGTGAGGATGAGCTGGGAGGGGCATAATTTGGAACACAATAGCTCAGGTCCTGAACCCAGCTAATGCCTTTGTGGTGAATGACCTTGGCTTCTTGGCCTCAGGCATAAATATATTTTTCGCAGTTATAAGGTTAGTTCGAGGGTGTGTGTTGAGCACTGGGGTAGGAAAAAGTGAGAGATAAAGACATTGAGGATAGCAGTCCTGACTTTGGAGCAGAAGGACTCCAAAAGAATAGAAAGTGGACTATATCTGTCCTGTTTCAGTTTTTTTAATAATAAACTTTTCAGATGGTTTATGGGTGGGGAATAAGCATCCCCAAATTCTCAAATGGCAATGGTTTGTTACACCTTTACATTTTTCTGTGTAGTTATGTGACTTTTTAATTGAGATATATTATACCAAGATACAACTCTGGTGTTTTATGAGTTGAGTGCTGCTGTCTTCATACTCTTCAGTTTTTTAAAAATTATTATTATTTTTATAAAGACGGGTAAATATTAGTTCTGTTAACTGTCTATCTTAACTACTGCAATCCATTTGTCTTTTGCCTGTGCATTAAGATGCATAAAAACCAGCCTGAAAATGTGAAAACTGAAATGTAATTGCTACTGTAGAGGGTGCTGCGTCAACCCACTATATAATTATTATCCTTAAAATGTCAAATTTGAATATAATGTCTTTAGATTGCTTATTTCAGGTATCAGAGATAAAACTAAGAAGAAAATACAGCAGAAGATTTAACACTTAACAGTGTTTGAATTAGTAATGCAACTGGATTAAGTTTTGGTGTTTAAGCAGCGACAGCAGCCTTGTACCGGGACTAAGAAAGGACTCGCTGGCTCATCAGGGGCGACGTTAACTATTGATGGGGGTCCAGGAACGGCGCATGTGCTGTCAGAGTTCACTGTAACATCAGAAAGGGACTGCAGTGATGCCAGAGGGATTATAGCCAGGGAAGCACCTGTAGCGTTAGGAGCTGCGTACTTCTAACCATCAGACTTTGATTTTGTTGAAATCAATTCGTATGAGGATTAAAATAATGGAAAGATGAGTCGTCAAGCTTATTTCTATCGTGTCCCCCCACAGGAATTGCACAGAAGAACCCAACTCCAGCCTGAGCCAGCAAAGACGAAGGCTCTTCAAACAGTTATCGAAATGAAGGTATGGCCTTTGCATGTTTGCCCATGTGTTATTTCTGTAGCATGAAGTCATGTACTGGGGGTGGCTGGGATACAGTTCATTTTCCTCATAGCAGCCTGTATGGTGCTGTTTTGAATTTCAGACTAGAACAGTGTTGATAACACGCTGATGTTTTAGCTGTTGCTCATCAGTGCTTGCACAGAGTCAAAGCTTTCTCAGTTTCTCACTCTGCTCCTGCCCCAGCAAGTAGGTTGGGGGTGGACAAGCTGGGGCCAGCTGACCTAAATTTACCAAAGGGGCATTCCATGCCATCGGATGTCATGCCCAGCCATGAAACTGAGGGGAGGACATTCAGAGTTATGGCATTTGTCTTCCCAAATAACTACTGTGTGTGATGAAGCCCAGCTTTCCTGGAAATAGCCGGGCATCTGCCTGCCTGTGGGAAGTAGTGAATGAATTCCATGTTTTGCTTTGCTGGCCTGCACAGCTTTGCTTTACCTATTAAACTGGCTTTATCTCAACCAATGAGTTTTCTCACTTTTGCCCTTTTCTCCCTCCCCTCTCCCACTGAGGGGGATTGAATGAGCAGCTGTGTGACACGTAGCTGCCTGCCAGGGTTGATTTATGACTTTTACTATTAGATCATTAAATGCTTCCTTTACCTTATCAATTTATTTTGTTGCGAAGCTAGAAAAAATGAGTATTTATTTTTCCCAGTCTTTTTTCTTATTAAAATGGATTAAAAAAATAAAATCAAGTGTAGCATTGCTGAATAATGAGAACTGACTATAGCTTTTCAAAAAGACTTGGGGGTGTGTCTGTGTGTTTCAGGAGATCCAAAGTAGATGGAATAAACTGAAACAGAAGTCTAAGGCAAATTGTCCAAGGCTAATGTAAAGTGTTTTTCTTCTTGATCTTTAAAACAATTCTTCTATTGCTGGTTATTAGGCCATAATTTTACAGCTAATCTAAGGAAAATATTCACTGCATCAGCAGATATGACAAAATGTGATGAAACAGCTATCTTAGTCCTGAATATAGTTTCCTCTTTTTGATGTATAATATTACTGAAGTGTTATAGTTTTTTTTCCCCACAATAACAAAATATAAAAATTATAATTTAAAAAGTGAAAACTGATATTTTTGCATAATTCTATGAGTCTGGAATGTAACGAAAATACCATGAGACTTGAGATAATTTGTGAGTTGGCAATGCTGCCTGAAATATGTTAATGATGGTCTTTCCTTTCAGTCTTAAAAGGAAGTGCAAATTAAGGGCCTCATTTTGCCAGTGACTTCTGTTATGAGCAAATGAGTTCAGCATGTCTGAACATTGTGGTAAACATACAGTTAAAACAACAGCAGGACTTTATAAATACAATATCTGTCTTTTAACAGATAAAAATTAGTTTGGATTATATGAGTAACAAAGAAGGTACATTGATATCAGTATTTCATCTTCTGATGTATATTTGCCTTGGACATTATTCTAGTTTAGGAGTCTTTGTATGGTATCTAAAATGTGTGTTTTTGCATCAACTTGTTACCCTGAGTAAATGGGTAAGTAGGATACCGGCTGAGAAACTTGTTTCTTTCTATTAATATTCAGTTAATATATTAATTACTATTAATAATTATAAATGTAAAAGTTTTGGGATACAAAAATAACATGTTAGAATAATTTATAATCTTTCATGTGGGTTATTAACAGTGTAATCTTCCTGTACCAAAACTCTCTGAAAAGAACAGGGGTGGAGGGTACACGACACAGGAATGGCACGTGTGACGACTGTAGTTGCAGCCACTCCTGACAGTGTCTGTCCCTGAAGACAGTAAAGTGTTCTCTGTTTTCTGTCTGTCTCCCAGGAGAGGTGGGTGTGGTGTGGGGTTGTGTTGCTCTGCTTTTTAAAAATCTCATCTTTGTAGTGAGGGCTTTCATTTCTCATGAGTGAGACTGCAGTCATGTTGCTGGAGCACTGGTGCAGAGCTGCTTTTTGGCTATGAGGCACACAGTTCTTTCTTTTCCTATGAACACTCTCTCCTTTGGGGTTGCCCTGTCTAAAATAGGCCTAATATTGAAAAGAAAAGGGACAAATGTAAGATGTTGAAAGCCACATGATTAAACAGCAGTTTTCATTACAAGTTCCAGATTTGGAATGTTTTCAAGTAAATTTAAATTGTCTTAATCCAGACAGCATTTGTTTCGAAAAAAATGTGGAACATTTGTTTTGAATGATCAAGCATTGAAACAGTCATTTCCCTACAGTGTTGAGGGTAGAAGGAGGGAGAGGATTAGCCTGTAATATGGCAATCTGAGGCATACACTCCCCGATGCAGAGGCTCCAAGCAGGATATATTTCTCTTCACTGCACCCAACCCCTTCCACCCCCTTGCCCATTAGCTTTTGTCTGAGTCCCCTCCATGGCTTTCCCAGGCTCTGTCAGGGTGCAACTTTCCCTCCTTCATAAATCCTTCTATCCTTTCCTTTGGTTTTCTTCTGGCCCTTGCCACTGCTGAATGCTTTCTGTCCCTTTCCCAGTCTGTACACCCTTTCATCCAATGAAATTATACCCGTTTCTCCTACCTCTAATTTCTCGTGTGGTTTTTTTATTTGTCCTGAACATCTTTTTTTTTTTTTTTTTCTCTGCACTACCTTTCCTGTCCTGTAATGCTCTTTATTTGTCTCTGAAGCTTTGCAAGTAGTTGTCTTTTCTTAGAGCAATTGCATTTTCTGCTTAACTGTTGTCTCCTTGGCCAGTGTCTGTCTTCGGTCTTCTCATGTAAAAAAACCAAAAGGGCAAACAAAAGAAGGTGGAAAATTTAAATCCTATGGCTTGACTCCTGTTTTTCTTGCTTTATTTATACCTTTCCAGATATTTCTTGTCTTTTCAGAGGTATTGCACTGGCCTTTCTTTCCCAGCTTTCTGATTTTGCTTCTTAGACGTGTTCACTTCCAGATGTCCCATGTCTTTTTCTCTGTTGTTTCCCCTTACATTCTTTACTCTGTTCTCTTGTCTGCAACAGATCTTCTCCAGAAACCCTTCCTTCTTCTGAAAAGCAGTGTCCCAAAAACAAAGGAGGGGCAGGATGCTTCCCTTTCCCACATGCTCCTGTTCCCTCAAGCTGGTCTAGTTTTGTTGCAGTGGTTGCTTCTGACTTTGTGACACAAGATATATGTTTTAAACTGAAATAGGATAGATCTAAGTTGGACATAAGGAAAAAAGAATTTTATGATGAGTGTGGTGAGACCCTGGCACAGATTGCCCAGAGAAGCTGTGGCTGCCCCGTCCCTGGAAGTGTTCAAGACCAGGTTGGATGGGGCTTTGAGAAACCTGGTCTAGTGGAAGGTGTCCCTTCCCATGGCAGGAGGGTTAGAGTAGGTCATCTTTAAAGGCTGCTTCCAACCCAAACCATTATATATTGCTATGATCTCATTCAGATGGTTCTGGGCTTAGAACAGTGACAGTACTTGAGAGAGAAAATTAGAAGTTAATTGCCTACAGGTATGTCATAAAGCTCATCTTAAATGTAGAATATCAAACATCCCAATATATATGGAGTCTAGCAATTAGAATGATAAACTCTTTAAAAATGATAAGCTGTAGAGTGAATGAAAATATTTGTGGTTTACCTCACTTGCAGAAAGAGCCATCTTTGTGTATTGATCCAGCTGTGATATTTCAGGTATGGGTTTGGTTCTAAAAAAGCGTGTTATTTGTGTTTGCAGTGCAACATACTCTTATTGTTAAGATTGCATGAACTTTCACTTCCCTTATCTTCAAAGATAAACCTGAATAATCTCTGCATTAAATTGACAAAGTTAAAAAATGCATAGAGTAAGAGTAGTCGTGTATGGTCTGTTGACAGCAAGTGTACATAAGTGCATTTACATTTAAGTTTTATTAAATGTGAGGTTTCAAATATTTCTTTCGGATTGCTTGTTCAATGTCCTACAAGAAAATTTTTTCACAGACATATTAAATTTATCAGGTGTCTCAAATGATGAACAGTAGCATTTGTTACTTTTCCTTTCAGAGTAAGACAGCCTGGAATGCTGTGTTATATAGAGTTGGACTCTGATCCTTGTGGGTCCCTCCCAACTCAGAATATTCTGATATTATTTACGAATGTTTTGCCCTTTTCCCACCTCTCAGTGTTCAGGAAATGTTCTATAGGACTCTTGTAATGACTGATATGATTCATGAAACAGCATTGTGGAAATTCATTTGTAGATTTAATCACTTTTCTTTTGTGAAATATTATTTTCTTCAATATCAGGACACATACCAGTTGTTTCACATTTGGATTTCTGCTAGGTCCAGCATAGAAGTAGCCCTAACCTTTCTCACAGAGTACCTGCAACACTGTTCTAATAAAGGACATGAGGAAGAAGTGTGGGTTACTGCTGGAAGGAGGGGACAGATTAGGGCGAGTACCCTGATCTCTATCATAAATCCTGCTAATATAATCTTACGTCTTTTAACAGATTTAGAGGGCCTGAGTGGAAAAATCTGCACAAATGTTGCATTGTTGTGGAACTCAGAAGATGTTTATTAGTACCATTTAATACTAAGCTACTTCCTTAATATTGTTGCAAAGGAATCTTTGTGATTCAACACAGACCCACGTAGTTTTTTTCAGAATGTTGCTAATGTGGATAAATCTTAGAGGTCTGAAGGAAATACTGCATCTGTTCCTATTTCACTTTCTGAAAGCTTGCCAGACCCTGTGCCACAACAAGAGCTGGTTGAAAGTTTTCCAGTTGAAGTTTTCTGTGGGAAAATGCTGATTCAGCTGAATCAGAGGATTTTATGGGAATGTGCTTGTTCTGTCAAAACTTTTAGCGAATGCAAAGCCTTAACTTTCTGTCCATCCTGCAAGCGAGCCCAGCTCCCTTGTGGCAGTACCCACTGGAGTTCTAGGCTCTCTGTTAGCTTTGACCTGCAAGGTTCCTCACTTTCTAGCAGTTGTCCAGACAGGAAAACTGTCAGGTTTCCTGGGCAAGCCAGCATGCATAAGGGAACAGTAGATCCCTGAGCAGTCTGGGATTGAAGGTGATGTCTGTCTTCTCTTCTGTCTTGTCAACACTAATGTCATCGATAGATTATTCTGAAACAGATTTTATGGTCTTCAAAATTTGTGAAATTTCTGGCTTCTGTTTCAATAAAAGGTTAATACAAAACTGACAGTGACAATTTTTCCCTGTAAAAACTATTAAAAACTAGTTTTTACACGTGCAATCATAATATACAGAGATCGATTAAAAGTAAACTTCTCCTTGGAGATTTCAAACTTGTGATAAAGTAGAAGTACAGAAAATGCTTACACAAGTTATGTTAGATATTTCTCATGAAGCTTAAATGTTATTCTGTGATGTATAAACCTTCTAAAGAGTGCAGCGGGCTGTGCTATAAATTGTTTCTGCCACATTATATTTGCAAACACATAAAATACACATGCAGTACAAAAAGGCAGACTCTTATAGACTTAGCTGGGGAGATTTGATAAAGGCTACTCCCAGATGTCATGTCATAACAGGTCATGTAAGTATTAATATCTTTCATTGCAAAACCATTCTAAAGTGCAGTGAAGCTTGGGTTTTGCTTTTATCTTCAAAAATAGGAGTAAAATATTTCTAAAATGAAGTCTGATGGACCAAGCAGAATTGACTGTAGTATCTGTGAGAGCTACAATTGCTTTGTGTTGTGCATAAGTCTTGATAGCTTTTAAAATTCTTATTTTATCTTTTCTTATAGTATTTTTCTTTTTGTGCAATTTCTCTGAATAATACGGTTTAATAGAATTCTTTCCTTTTCTTTTTCCCTTCCATCTCAATAATTTTTTACTTCCTTATTGTAAAATTAAATTTAAAAATATGTAGATTTTTTAAACAACAGTTTAATATAAAGTGTTTGTTTTCTGTCATGTGAAGGGGCTGATCCCTTAAAAACATTATTTGGTTTTCATGATCATTCATACAGCCTTTGTGATATGAGTAATGCTGATTCTATGGACAAACAATAACATTTTTAGGATTCTGCTATTAGAAATCTGTGATGTTAGTAATGTTAGTCTCAGATACTAAGTAAATTAAGTTACATTTTACCTGCAACTTTAAAAGTTGATATTTAAAAAACCAAGTCCATAATTATAGTAGATATAGGTATATAGTCTAAAAGCTGGTTGGATGCCCTCCAGAATGGGAAGGGGTGTGGAGGTATACTGTGGTGGTGGGGTGTGTGATTTTCTTTCTATTTTGTTGCTTTGTTTGTTTTATTTTGTGTTTTGTTTTGTTTGGTTGGTTTTTTAAATGTGCATCCCTAGTTGCTCCTTTGTGGTTTTTAATTGGTTTTTGGTGGAATACTCTGTTTCTTTGAACATACCCATCAAGAAAGAAAAATATGGAAATACGGCTGATTAAGATTATCGTCAGTATTTTCAATACCAGATATCTTCCAGATAGAAAAGCAGCTAGTGAGGTAAAAGATAAAACCCAACAAGTTTCACATTCCAAGAATTTTTTTTGTCTGTTTCCTTTGCATTTTGGCACTTTTTTATCATTTGTCTGGACCTTTCTTTCTGAAAGGGGATGCAGTTAATCTGGAAATTTGTAAGAGGCATGAAACGGCTTCGTATTCTGTATTGCCCTCCAAGTGCATTACTTTGCCTGTATGGTAAGTTTTCTCTCATGGAATGTAGCTCTCCTCAACTTCTGCTTCAAATTCCTTTGTCTCAGGATTCCTCGCTGAAATGTTTGACATCTTTTTGCATCACTGAGCTCTTGTCTGGATTAAAAGACACTCTTCACACAGGAACCACAGAGTATTTGCATAGTAGTACAACCCATAAGCATCTCTGCCAGTGAAAACTGGTACATCAGTGTGGTGCACTGTATGTGGGGCAAGTATATGAGGAAACAACCTTTCTTCCTCTTGAGAACAGTCAGAGCTCCGGAGAAACAGGGAAACTGAGCCTCAGGCTGGGTCACAGAACATAGCATTGCACCTTTCCTGGTTGTGAAGGAGATCTGAATTCTGCATTTCTTTAAGCCCAAATCAATAGAAATACTGTTGGTTTATGGCAGTATCTGCATTCTCTGTTTGTACCATCTATTTCTGCCGTTTTACTATTTGATATTCATGCAAGCACAGATATACTTCCGTTATCCTTTAATATATGTTTCATATAATTTTCAATGCTCTCTTTTTTGTAACTTAGGATACAAAAATAGCTTCACTTGAGCGCAATATAAGAGACCTTGAAGATGAAATACAGATGTTAAAGACAAACGGAGTTCTGAATACAGAGGACCGAGAAGAAGAAATCAAACAAATCAAAGTTCATGAAAAATAAGGTAAGATCTATTTATGTGAGAGATTGAGTGTTTAAATAATGGAAAGAAAAGTTTTAACTTGACTGTTTTCAACACAAGCAGCTCTCTGTGTGTCTTCTTTTGGTAAATCTCAACTATGCAATAATCAGGAGTGAAGTTTTTTTGGATAAATAAAAATGTGTTTATATTTTGACTTAAGAATAGGTAAGGAAGAGCTTTTTTTTTTGGATTTTGACAGTAGTTTTGCAGTAAGGATAATAGAGGAAAAAGGATGATGGTTTTCTGGAAATGCTAGTATCTGAGGAATTGAAATTGTGGGAGGTGACAGAGTTGTAAATTGAGAAGGAAGAGAAAGGAACTAGAGTTTCAGGGAAGGAGGTGGAGCAAGATTGTATTGGGCAATGTTGAAAAAGCGGTGACGGGCAAACTACACGTATGAAGTATGTGGGATAGTGGGAAGGTTGGATCAGAGGTCAGACTCGGAGTTTTTTGATGCTATGGCACTTATACCCAGACTTGCAGGTTCTCTTCCTTGTAGTCTTTAAAAAGTACAAAAACATTTTTGCCTTTGACTTTTGTTGTACTGAGATCAGGAAGTCTCATTAAATCGTGACTGTTGGTCTTCCACATCACTTTAGATATAGCAAAGTGAAAACGTTTGCATATCTGCTAGAGACAACAATCTATTTCATGTCCTCTTTACTTCCCCCCCCAATAGATAATGCAAAACTTTAAAAAAGTGTATATACCCAGGTCTAAAAATTTCTTTAGAAGTTATGTAGTTTCTTGTCATCCCTTTAAGTTTTTGAGACTTAATCTTTTTAAATTGGAATGTTACTGCCTTTTCATAATTATATTTATTTTGATAAAACACCATCCAAAAGTGTATTTATTCAACGCATTTGCATATTGTGTGTGTTTGGTTTGTGCTTTTTTGAAGGGCCTTTTTTTGAGTGTTCTAACACATTTTTAAAATCCTGACAATTTGTAGGTCTTGTAGCCAGAACTTTATACTAAACAGATTCTGTTTCTAAAACACAAAGAGCATACCTGCAATGAAAATGAAGCCTTTTTTCTTTTTTTTTATTATTATTTCTCAGGGTGTGGGTTGTGTCAAGGAGTAAAGCGAGAAGAGTTTCTAGAAGAGATTAAGCATCTGTGATGTTCACATGCATCTCATGTAAAGCATGTGATGTAATTCAGATTGGCTGCAGATCTACTTCTTGTCTTTGTATCTTGTAGACAGATTTTCCCATTGTTCATTTTGTATACGTTTTGTCTCAGTTGCCATCTTTGCTTCCAAGGGATGGAGGAAGGTGCTTTGCTTTCAGGAGTTTTCTCTAGCGGCTTATTAGCTGCAGTCTTTCCTCACATCTGTTTTTTGTATCCCCCTTTTCTTATTTTGATACTTTCAGACTCTGAAGATGATTTCTTTTAGTACCAGGACAGATCTTGATTTTATACAGTGGCTCAAGGGTGACTATCCCAGCACCTTAAGCAGCTAGACAAACGTGTTGGGATTTATAAAGAGAAAAAAGGAATAAATACATTAAGATATGCATATGGACTGTAGTTGGAAGAAACATATTTTAAATTTAATTTTTAAGGATACACTAAAACAAAATAGAACTATTTTGATCAGCAGTAAATATTTCCAGTGCCATACAGTATTGAATTTGTAAATTATTTTAGTATGTGGATCTTTGGGATGTGGTTGAGTTGAATCAGCCCGTGGATACATATTCTTTTCTTTTCCTGGTGATTTTTGAATCACTCTCCATCTACCACTTAACATGCAACTGCTGGGAGAGAATGGAAAAGAGCTCTTCTAGCACATCTCTGGTTTTTGCAGAATTGAAACTTGAATTTTAAAGAAAACTATCTAGGTCTTACAGTCTTCAAGAAAACTTTCCAAATATAAAGGAAGTGTGATTTCCCTGAGTTACGCATATGCAGTGAGGTGTTTTATTACAAATAATCCTCATGAGATGATGGATCTGCATTAATCTGGTGACCAGTGTTATTTCACAAGAATTCACCATCCTTTAGCATCACTCTGTAGATTGTCCAGTGCTTTGTTCTGATTCCTGTCATGAATCCACCACAACTTTGTGTCATGTGGCTGCTCTTCCCGTTTATCACTGTGGAAAGGAAAAAATAATCACAGTTCCATGACATTTACTGATGAACCTTAAATTCACTTAAATTCAGAAGCTTTGTCTTAGTGACTGTGTTTCTACTGTTTCCTCTAGGATAAGCTTTTAAAATCTCTCAGCCCTTTCAATCTGTGGAATTTTTTATAATGTTTTCCCCAGACTTCTCTTAAGTTAATCACTTTGGCTTGGCTTTTCTAGTACCTGAGAATTCCATGTGAACTGCCAGAGAGAAAAATAGGAGGTGTGGGGATGGTGGGCAGCAACACATTTGCAAGAAGAGTAAGGTTAAAATTCCACTTTTCTGTTTTCCTCTCCTTACTAAGATGCCTGTTTTTCTTTATCAGGCTCCTAAAAAAATCTCGATTCATTCTGGCTAATGATAAGTCATGGAAATCATGCTGTTGGAAGGATTGAATTTATACTTTTATGAACACTTTTTTTCCTATACATTTTTGCTGTCCTGCCAGACTTGCCTCACCTGGGATAAATGCCTTTGAACTTAAGTGAGGTCCATAGTGAATTTACAGGCCAAATCATCATGTATAATCTTTAAGAGTTTCCTTTTAACTTCTGCAACAGCAGGGCAATCATTCTCAAAACAGGTTACATTAAATTACAAGAAGCACAGTTGAAGTTGTGAGTGTAAAAAGTCTGAATCTTAATCCTCCCCCAGAAATCACAGCTGTCTGATTTGTCATATCATGGTCATTTTTGTCATATCATGGTCATTCACACCTCTCCAGTTTCAAGTGGAACTATGAATTGGAAATGGAATTAATGATTCAACCATTTTTTTCCCCACTGTAGATTGATCAACTGAAACAAGAACTCTCAAAGAAAGAATCAGAACTTCTTGCCTTACAAACTAAGCTTGAAACCCTTAGCAATCAGAATTCAGATTGCAAGCAACACATTGAAGTGCTTAAAGAGTCCCTTACTGCCAAAGAACAGAGAGCTGCCATACTTCAGACAGAGGTATCGTATCTTCTAATCATGAAAAGCAATAGCAATACTTAGTTCTTAGCACATGTCAATTGATGGTGTGTTTGAGTCAAGTCTCTGTAGAAGGCAAGTTGTTTTAAGAATAATAAATAACTTTAAACGCTTTAAATACCAGTATATTTGATGTGTATATAATTTTGGCAGTACACCAGCTCTCATTCTAGAATTTTTTAGAAGCATGTACGATTGCATTTTAAGAAAATGTTTGTATCTAATTTTCATTGGCTTCAGTGAGGGGAGCTGGATCTTAATGACTTGATTGTTGTGATATCATGCCCTGTTTCTTCATCTGTTAGTTGGCTGAGTTTTCTTTTTGGTTGCTCTGGTTGATGCATCTTTTCTACTGTGTATTTCTATTCTGAAGGGTGAAACTACAGATGCATTTTTAAGGGATTTTTTGAAGGGTGCATGTTATTAATCTGTGATTATTGTTTAAAGTGCAATCAACATTTATTTTAAAATATGAATAATTTCAGTCTTTAAAAAAAGACCAGTGCATTAATTATGTATGTATCTAAAAAGTCAGATCATAAAAATATGAGCAATGGAACTCACAGTTGAGATGGTTGTCACATCTGAGGGAATGCATTAATCCAGTGTTTAAAATGTTTTCTGTGGTTTTAAAAAACTTCTTAGACTTGGAGCGCCTAACAGTGCTGATTAGATTGATTCCTGTTAGAACATTTAGATTTTAAATGTGTGTACCCGTTTCAAGAAACAAATTTACCCATACAGTGCAAATAGTTTCTGTTCAGAGAAGTATATTATTTAAAGTATACAGGAATCTCATAGAATGTTTCAAATTTCTTACTAGCAAAGCTCTAGGAGAAAAAAAGGGCTTAAACTCATCATTCTCATGGAAGCAGGAAATAAGTATTTCCAAGATTCTGATTATCCCTTTGTGCTGTATGTCTTGTCCTCTGTACATTTAGAAGATATAGATGAAATTTTGGAATTTCCAGCTTGTGTTTAATGGGTCAGCCAGCATGTGTGTATAATACAAAATAATCATAATAGAAGCAGGATAAAAACTCCAGCAATTTTGGTGGTCTCAATCTAGCATTTGAGTGGTAAAGATTACATATTTTAAATCTCAGGCTGTGCAAATCTATTTTGTGAGGCTTGTATGACCTGTCACACTGCTGAGGATGGAGATGAATTCCATTGGCTCTCTACTAATGTGATTTCCTAATTATCAGCCTGGTATGTGCAATCCTGGTGGAGAACCAGTTAGTTTCTGACAGATATCTAATTTCTCTTCTTCCCAAATTCTGCACGAGGCAGCTGAGCTTGAGCCTTGCACATGAAGCAATTTAAGTTTAAAATTAGCTGTGATTGCCTGTTGGTGTGCAGGTGACAGTCAGTTGTGTTGTGTCTGCTCCTTGTTTGTCTCTCAGGGAAACCAAATGAAAAATTAATGTAAAAGTGATCAGAGAGACAGCTTGATAGAAGAAATGCTCTATAATAGCAGAGAATTGATCCCTTTTGTTTGGCCTAATGCATTATTTGTGATGTGATTGTGATAGTTCATACAAATGATAAGAGATTCTTCTGGCTTTCAAATAAAATATTAAAATATCTGTGTAGGTATAGGGTTAGTGGAAGAGATGTTCAGTATAATCTCTATTCAGTGGAAAATACTATTTCATGGTTTTGATTATTTATTTTAATTAACACTTTATTTCTGTATAATCCAAAGCATTCTGATGAAAAGCCTTGGTTTGTTTCTGAATGAAATAACACTGTAAGCTAAGTGGGTCATGGCAGATAAGACACTTAAAAATGAAGCAAAGAACCTCATAAGTGCCCTCCCAGTATATCTTGGTTCTAGACAACTAAGGATGTCTCTAGAAAGATTTGCTAAATCAATTGAACCTGAATTTGTTTGACTGAATCTTCAGAACTAGTAAGTTTTATTTCATGTGTATTATTGTCAACCTTTGGAATTTACATTACCTCATAAATTGATGAAGCTCTGAAACACTGCAAACTATTTTATATTCTCCAGAGACCATTTAGGTGGGTTTTATTTTCTGCTTTGCGTAGGGTGTAGGTAATGATTTTATCAGACAACAGTTTTCTGAGTTTATTTTTTCTTTTTAAGGTATCTTTGTAAAGGGAATTGGGAAGAGTTGGTGAATTATGTCCACCTCTTATGGGAAGTAATTGTAGTTCAATTTGCTGTAACTGTGTATTCATGTACAAGAAATTTGGCAGAAGAGTTGCATTAATGTAATTTTTTTTTCTCCTGAACAATCATGTGAAAATGAAGGCCTCTGAGTATTACATGAATACCAGACCTCACTTTGGATTATGGTACATCTTGAGATGCCTTAGAAGCAACATTTGAAAACAAGTTCCAGTTATACACATGTATTGATGCAGCCACTATTGCAAATAATTTATCAAATAATATTGTTCTAATAACAGATTTAAAATGGGAAATAACTTTACTTGCCTCAAAATTTCTTCTCTTTACTTTTGAAAAGACAGCATTACAGGGTGTACTCTTAACATGCACTGTTTACCTATGAGGAGGAGACTTTAAACAACCTGTGTTAAACTTTAAATTATACCAGCAATTTACTGGATCTCAAAATATTTTAATAATGCACATACTTTGGGAGATATTAATTACATCTCTCTTTTAATCCATTTAAGATGCACTGAAAGTTTTATTACTTTCTTGTACTTTATGGTGGGGATGTAGCACATCTCAAATCTGCTGAAGATGATCTTTTATGGTATGTAGGAAGAAAAGAAGTGCACTGTGTATCCATTAGTTTCTCAAGCCAAAATGGAACTATTGTTTGTTATATTAAAGCCTCAAGGTTTTTGTAGGGATGTCACAAGCTGTACAAGTAGAATGTTATGTATTCAGGGGTTAGAAATAAAGAGGGGTTTCTGGAGTTAAATCATACTGAGGCTCACAAAAGATATGTTGTCAGTCTGAACATACTTATTACTACTTCTGGATATATTTTGAATTAAGAGCTCCTTAAAATTACTGACCTATCCAATCTTATTTCCTAGGATAGAGTCTCACAGCAGCTTTCAGCTAGGCAGAAGAAACATAACCAAACACAGAATTTATCACAAATTGCTGTGTAACTGCTTTCTTTAACAGTCTTCTGAACAAGTGACAGATCTCTGTGTCCAAGCAACTTCACAGACCAGAAAATAAGATTCTTCAAGTCTGATGTGCATGTTCTAATGATGTCCTATTGTTACATATTTGTAAGACCTTCAGGTTTTCGGCACATTCCTTACCTCCCTGATGTATGCTTGGGAGCTTTTCTGCTTAAAAATGATTACCAGGATGTCTTTTCTCCACAAACTATTATGCTACAACGGGATGTGCAGTTGGAGACAGAGTCTGGAGAAAGAATCTATTGGAGAAAGAGTCTGTTAAACTGTGGAGAAATGTGCTGGAGCTCTGAGGAGCACAAAAGCTGGACAGCAGCTGAATTTGTAGATTGCTACTCCTGTAGGCCAACATTCCTGTTTCCTGTCAATATTTAGAGAAGAACACAAAGAACACATCTTTAACATAAGTGACAAGAAGACCTCAGTAAAAATTAATTACTAAGGCAATAGACTGCTCATTGGATGCCATAAGTTTTTTTAGAGCTGAGTTTGTTCCTAGTGTTAGTGAGTGTGAGATGGTTGAAAATAGGCTGTTTGTACTGATTGAGCTTTTTCTGATTCAGGATGAAAATGTGTCCTTTTTTCTCTTGTTTCTTTTGTCTGCCTTATTTGCCCTGCATATATTTTGACTGACTAGGTGGCCAATATGTGGCAATATGAATTAAGTAATTGTTTGTTTCTTTTCTTGTGTGCTTCACTCTACATTTCAATTAACAAATTCATGCCTTCAGGCTGCTTTCTCCTGTTACAACCTGTATAAACTAAATGTGATTCAGAAAGATGGGAAAATTCGAAATGATGCCTTAGAGTATAATTTTCCTGAACTCCTTTTATACCCGCTCTTAGTTTTACGGGAAGCCTTTTTGTTAGTAACTTGCAAATATCAACTTCATATAACTCATCAATGCCTGTCTTCAGCACTCAGAAATGTCTTTCAAAAGGATCTTTTATGTTTTCATTTAATCTTTAGTTTGGAGAACTCCAGGGTATAGAGGGAATGCCTATATCTCATATGAATCTTCTGAAAACGTTATGTTTGGTTACGTGTGAGTGACTGAATGTGGACTAATTCCTAGTATCATTGGAGACCTTCAGTGTTTTGTGTCTGGCATATATATTAAGCTGTGTTACATTAAATAACAAAACAACAAGAAGTCAAAAGGTTCTCTAATGAAGCCCATAGATTTCCTGCAGAAAATACAATCCCTGCAGCAAACGACCATGATAGAATAGAGGGACTTTCTATGCACTAAACCCAGGGTCATTCTTACCAGAGACCTGAAAGTGAGCAACTGTCTGTTATGTGGTGATCAAGGATGTGGCCTGCCAGTGTAGATGGTTAAGGAATAAAACTGATGCTTTGCCAGCTGGGCTCTCTGTGAGACCTGGGTTTTAAGATGATTAAGCCAAGGCCTAGACTGTGCTGTGGTAGCAATCCAGCAAATGATTTTAGACATAGCAGGACTCATTTTCTGCAACTGAGAACTGGGAAAAGATTTTGTTTGCTTAGAGAACTGAATCTTCTGTCTCCAGGCTTCAGATCTTACCTAAAGGGAGGGCAGTGGCTTGCAGCAGCATATGGGAAAGCAGCTGCAGGGAGATGCAGGGCAAATGGCAGCCCTCCAGCAGGTGGAAGTCATTATGGAAAGAATTTTGTACTGTACAAGCTATTGTTGGTCATTCCCAGATGAGTAAAGCTAATATAATGTTTTGGCCTGCATTAAGCCATGCTCCTTTCTTTCTGCATGTCCACATTGTCTATTTGCAGAATAGATAGTTTTGGTAGAATTTTATACTGTCCTAAAACCTGTTCATAACTTGCCTGG